ATAAATGCTTTAAAAATAATTAAAAATAAAAAAAAAAGTTCAGATTTTAAAGTGTCTCAATTTCCAACTGAAAATTTTTAGATGCTTTGTTGAATTACAGCTAAAAGAATTGCTGCTAAATAAGCTATATTCTGATCGAGGACAATTCTTTAAAGACTTTTACTCTCAGACAACTGCCACTTGATTTGATGTACCAAAAATACCATTAGAAAAGTCCTCATGACCTCCAAACTGATTTTAATATTAAAAAAAAAAAAAATAAATGGAAGCAAGTCCTTAACGCAATTCTTAGCATACTCTGAGTTCTGTTGAACCCAGTACTCAGAATCAGTCGATCTGCTATGAAACCAATAAGAATGATTCCTTGCCTGTCCAGGGCTACTCAGATGTGACTGAAATTCTTCCCTTCTTTTATTAAAAAGAGTTATTAAAATATTATTGCCCAGCCTTTTCAGTTTTTAAACCAATTAGTCTCAGAACAGTTGAAACTGAGTAGTCTGCGAGGATTGTCAAGTAGCTCTTGATTCACAGAAGAAGTAAACTTCTCCATATCGACACAATATTAAATCAAACAAGAAATTATTTAATATTTATGCAATAAATGATTCTTTAATGGACCTGTATGTAGAGTGCCAAGCCACCTTAGTAGGTACCATTTTCTTCTCCTCTCTTTCCCGCATAAAAGCTTAAATGTAAATGTATGGATGAAGGGATTCAGCACTGCTGACTCTGTAGTCAACACAGGGAAGTCCAGAAATTCTTGGGTGAGGTGGTTTTCACTCTTCTGTTTCCTAAGATCCTAGAACTGCTTACCATGTACATACACAGTGATTGGATCAAATCTTGTTACCAGAATTACTGCAGCTGTAACATTCCATAAAATCTAGGCCTTCAGTGTGGAATGAAGGTGGTCCAGATATGTTAAATACTAAGTACATAATCATGCTAGTTTGGGTACTGGAAATAGAGGTGTTTTGTAGAATGAAATAAAACTTTTTCTAGCCACATACTCATTAAATTTCTCTGTGCTTTAACAGCAAATCTATGTGGGCTGCATGTATTTGCTAACAGTTCAAAGGACAATTTGAACTGGAAGTCTAACCTGATAAAAGCAGGGTTAACAATGAGGTTAAATTTACTTAAATTTACTTCTTTATTATTTTGGTGAACTTGATTTTGAACTGTCTGGTTCTCAGATTTTAAAGGGATTACCTTGAAAAATCTCTTCCAAAGATTAAGTGACCTTCAAAGGGACCTTTGTAGAAACTTAACTCTGGTTAAACTCTTAATTCCAGCATTGTAGTAGCCAGGATTTTTTTTTTTTCCTTTCTCAGTACTGAAGTTAGTCAGGTTATTAAGTTATTCTTCAGCAAACTGCATAACTCTTTTATTGGCCAAATACAAATGAAGATGATGTTTCAGTTGTTGTGAGCTAGTATTCCAACACTGTTTTGTTATGTGATATGGTATTTAAATTTACTGCTAGAAATTTGCCTTTTTAATATATCAAAAACTGAGACAGTGGCATATCAGACTTCCTCTTCCTTGAAAGTTGGATCAGAGAAAATTTCTGTTTGGGGGACAAGAATGAGAAGATGAAGAGATAAATGCCAGAGAAAAATGGGGAAAAGAGATGCCAAATCTATTTTCAAAGTTACAGTGAAATCTTTGTTTGAGGGGAGAGGAGAGAAACGTGCACAGGAGCTGAAACAGTGTCTCTTACAAACCACTTGTCCCTTCTGCTCCTGCTCATCCTCGTGCTGTTGACTCAGAAAACGCTGCTGGCATCACCGCTTCACAACAATTATCCTTAAGGAGACTATTGATGTCTGTGGTTTTCTGCTTCTTCCATTATTTAAGATGCTATTTATCATACAGTGTTTCAGAGATTGGATTATTACCTGGGAATTCAAGTGTGCCTGGGCTGGTCTTTTTAAGACATAGAAACTCAGTGTGTTGTACAGAGCATAAAATGTACTGAATTACTGCTGTAGTTATCTAAAATGGTACTTCAGTACAGCAAAAAATATATATATTTATGTGCATTTGTATGTGTATGCATGCACAGGAGTAAAAGTACACAGGAAAGCTGGCATTCTCTGCACTGCAGTGCCTCATAATGTACTCTGCTTCACAGAGCACTTGAAATTGGAATAGTTGAGTCTCCTACTCGTAGCTTTGCCTTGGTTGGAGGGGGTTTTCCCAAATAAAAACTTCAAAATTGCGTTGGCAAATTACTCTAAAATACAATACATTCTATTTCATCCAGTGGCTGTGCCCTTATTCTTCTGAAAGCCATTTATGCAAGGTCTTGGAATTTAGAATTTCAGCGTTCAACAGCAAGATATGCTAATGGTCCTCTCCGTTTAGTATATCTGTAGGAATCTCTCTAGCACATGCATTCAGAGTAACTGAATATAGTATATGCCATCATTTCATGATTCCTTCTTTCATTACCATCATTTCCAAATAATGAAAATAAAATTAGGACCCCTGCTACAGTAGTTACTGCAGAAACAGAGGCTTAAGTGGGTATCTTTCTGCTCTGGCAAGCATAAGCTCGTGCTGTGTTTTGCAAAGGGAGGCAGTTGATTCATTTCCCTTGCTAAAGTAGGAAATAATGTTCCTACACTAGGAGTGTATTCAGCTAAACTTGCAAGAACCTGTGTGACGAGTGTTTGAAATGCCTTGTAATAATACTTCCATTGTTTTCTTATTTATATTTTCTGTATAAGGTTTTTGTAAAATGACATTTATGACCAGCTTTTTGTGTCTAAGCTAGGAAGAGTTATTTATTTAGTAAGACTTTCCATTAATTGGAGCCAAGAAATGGAAAGCCTTCGATTACAAGAGTAAAAATACGGTATTTCCGAAGAGTTCTGCAGTCTAATATAATTTCTATGGAATATTTCTCTCCAGCGTCTTTGAAGTTGTTCTACATTAATATTTGATCTCTCTTTAAGTGTACACAGCACTAAATAAATTGACTGCAGTCTGTGTTTAAGGAAAACCTGCAAACTATTGTCTCCCATTTTTTTTTGATAGATATATTAATTGTTGGGATGCACATCACTCCTCTAAAAAAAAAAAAAAACAACTGAACCAACCAAAACCCAAAAAACCCTCCGACTCTTCACGACCAAGGTCACTTATCTGAATATGAGTGTGGAAAAGGATGACAATCTTTACAGGATGTTTGCATCGGAGCAGCAGTGCTGGTAAGCCTGAGAGCCTCCTAATTGTCCAGTCAGTTCTGGACAGGGTGGAGAAATGATGCAGAGAATGGCAATGTGATGTCTGGGTGATGCAGCACTGCCACAGCTGCAGGCTACCTGTACTGGAGTCACTCAGCTGGGAGATGTTCTCCCACACAAACTTGGTAAAACCCCTTGAGACGAAACCAAGACATAGCAGTAGGCCGCTGTATTCCACCCCCACTCCCCAAAAAGGAGGCAGAGCACTAATAGGACTAAAAAGATAATTCCTCAGACTGCAAAATTTCCCAAGTTTTCTTAAGATCATTCAGCATTGTCGGGCAGTAATTAACTGCCTCGATGCACCAGCACCTTCCCCTCCATTCCACCCTGTGTGTGTGCACATTAAAGGAAGATGAAACAAGTATTAGCTGCTGATACAACACTAGGAGGTGCCTGGTAGCCTGGGAAGGCTGGCTTTTTCTGGAAGAGAAAATGACAAGCTAACTGCTCTTTTTATGACCTTTTTACTATTCTATCATAAGTATCCATGGTAACATGGCTGTTCTTTCATGCTGGTATGTAGTACCAAAATAACAATAAATACTGATTTGAACTAATCTGAATGAATAGAACTTGCTGCCAGCTGTGCTGAAAAAAGATACTAGTGTTGGGACACAGGAAGAGGAGTCAGAAATACATTATTTTATTCTTTTTTTGGCTATGTATGTTGCCTTTTCTTTGTTTTCTTTCTTGTTTTCTTTTTCTTTTCTCCCCCATACCAGTTTGTTATTGAAGGATGTAACCAACAAGGTAATTTATTAATTCTACTTGTATGCCATAGGAATGTTTAATTAGGGGACAATGCTAATTTTAAAAGGTCTTCCATTCATTTCAAACAGTGAGTTTCTGTTTGCTTTGGTGGAATCCAAAATTACTCCTCAATAAATAGCTGAATGCAATGACCCACCAGCTTGAACTACGGAAATTTTTATTTTATGCTTGTGATGTATAGTGTAGTTTCTGGATGTGTTTCATATGACCAGACAAGCACAAGGGTGACCAAAACTCTTTCTTGTAATGACCACACTTCACTCACTTGCAGAAAAGTTTGTTTGATTGGGAGGTTTTTCGGTATTGCATGGCAAGGTGATTCTTGTTTAAATACTTTCATGTGGTTTGCCATCGGATGAACTTCACTTGTGTCAAGGTAGGGAACACCTGCACCCTGAAAGCATCTTTAACCAATGCAGTTTTAATCAACTGATGATTGACATCAGGTGAATACAAACACAGGAAGCAGGAAAGGGGTGTTTATTTTTTCTGAAGGTCTAAGTGGTTCTTTCAGGTGATGAAGGGCTTTTAGACATGACATTAACGTTTCAAAGTCCTATTTTGGAAGCTATTTCTGCTGTTGCCTTCAATTTGATACGAAGGCGAAGGAACACCTGATCGAAACAGCCGCTTTGTGTGTTCCTGCTTTGCAGAAACGACACCTGGGCTGGGCGTAGTGACAGGCTGCTCTGGGGCTTGACACCTACTTAGAGCAGCTGCCTTCCCCCGTATCGCCCGTCTCGTTTATATTCGCATCACACAAAGGCGCTAGCTAGCCGCAAAACACCGGCGGCGTTTCCGTTGCAGGTTTCTCTTTATTTATTTTATTATTTTTATATATTTTTTTCTTTTTTTTTTTTTTTTTCCTTTCCAGGAGGTTATTTCCCGGCCGCGTCCCGCGGTCCCCTCTGAGCGGAGGCCCCGGGTATCCCGTTCTAATCCCTGCCCGGCCGTCCTCCCCTCCCCATCCTCCCGGGGGGCGCGTCCTGGCGCATCCCGCGGGCCGCGCTGGAGCCGCCGCCGGGCGGGCTCTGGGCGGGCGGCGGCTCCTTCTGCCTCGTGATCCCCTTCCCGGCGCTCAAATCCCGCTCTGCTGGCGCTGGAGGAGGAGGAGGAGGCAGGAGACCCTCCCGCAGCGGGAAGGGTTGGCAGCTCCCCCGGCGAGGCGAAGTGCGGGAGGAGGAGACGGGGAAGGGAGAGCCGGTGGGAAAGACCAGTGCGAGGAACGGAACGAACCGGGGAGCGCCAGTATGAAATCCATCCCTGCCTGTTACCTGCTGCCTCTCTTCGCTGCGCTGGTCTTCGGCACTAGGTGAGTACCGAGAGCTATTTTCCTTAAGGTGCTCCTGCTTTGTTTGCTTTTTTTTTTTTTTTTTTTTTTTTTTTTTTGTTTCAGATTCAGTGCTTCGAGGAGCAGGTTTTCTGCTTTTACTGGGGTATTAAGTTTTGAGCAGAGATCATCTGATTGTCATCTGTCCCACTCCCCCTCCCGATCCTCTGAACGATACTGAGCGTTCTCTTGGTGGTTTTAGGCTTTTTTTTTTTTTTCTTTTTAGTGACAAGAAAGAGATGCTCCCGTGTAACTTGACCCACAGTCTGTGGGATGTAACAAGGCAGCGACAAATATAAGCTTTATATATAGAACAGTAAAAGCAGATAGACCTTGTTTCGTTGGAGAGAAAGGTAGAGAGCTGAAACTGAGAACATGCCAACCTTTTCCCTTATAGAGGGCAAAAAAATTAGGAACACTTGAACAATCTCGTCTCAGTTTAGGATTCTATATCTAACATAGACCTGGGTCTTGTTTGGGGGTTTTCATGATATGAAATGCAGGTGAGGTGTTGCAGTGTTATCTCAATGCCAGCAAACGTGTAAAAAGTTGCTGCAGTCTAGAAGAATTCCTTTCTGTGCAAGTATAATAAATAGCAGAAAATGTGAACAAAATCTATTTCGACTTAAAAGTGACACCTGATCTTGACCATGCAGTGTTCTGATAAGACAGTGTGTTCTCCTCAGCTGCTGAGAGATAGTACAGTGTCCATGTTGTAGGTACAATATGTTCAGCAAAGAAAAGATAAAGCTGAGACACTCTATCCCATTGTCTTGATGTACACAGATGGGAAGTTAATGTTGGATGCAGAGCAGATCTATTGTGACACTGCTCTCAGTTCAGACTTCTCAACTTCCAGTTCTTTATAAGTAAATCAAACCCTAGTTTTGACTGTGGTATTTTCCTGCAGTGTTAGAATAATAACACAGTAATAAGTCCATAATAAATAATAGTAAGCCCAAGGAGTATGCTCTCAGAGGATATATGCATATATATTTTTCATGAAAACATGGGGGTTTTTACCCCTTATTCTTGAACTCTTCCTGTAAAATTGCTATCAAAGCAGCTTCATGTTTTAAGGCTTAATTGTTCACTGAGATGTAAAAGAAATTAAAATTGGGGGAAAAATGTGTGCCTGCTACATAGTAGTAAGGGACAGCAATATGTATACATATAGAGATGTATGTGTACATCTCTCTGTATATACAGCAAATAATAACTGAAAATCTCTGAGTGGGAAAGAGTCCGCATGCAGGGAGAAATCACGGAGTCACAGAACATCCTGAGTTGGAAGGGACCCACAAGGATCACCAAAGTCCAGCTCCTGGTCCTGCACAGGACAGACCCAGGAACCCCACCACGTGCCTGACAGCCTTGTCCAAGCACTTCTTGAGCTCTGTCAGGCCTGGTGCTGTGACCACCTCCCTGGGGAGCCTGTTCCAGTGCCCAGCCACCCTCTAGGTAAAGAACATTTTCCTAATATCCAACCTAAACATCCCCTGACTCAGCTTCAGGCCGTTTCCTCGAGTCAGGAAATCATTTCAATTACTCAGTTATTTCCCTCCTTTAGAGTGGGTTGTTATTGGCACAAAAGGGTACTTTTTTTGGTAGTGCTTCTGATTAGGGATTCTACAGCGCTGGTCCATATGAACCACCCTGATTAGCTTCAGAATATAAAACTCAGAGGAAAGCTGTAATATATTGTGCTTCAGTTCTTCTGATTTAATGAGATGTCTGAGGGAACTTTCACTAGCAATCAAGGGTGAATTAACTCAGATTAATAATCTTATTATGCTCATTAAAGAGTGATGCATTCTCGGAAGAAAAGTTAAGATGGAGAGGAAGCAGCAAACAGGGTTTTGCAGATGCAGGTTTGTATCTTGCATGAGCTCATGGAGACCAAACTGCACTGAAAAGAGCTATGGAAAACTTAAAAACTGCTTGAACATTGATGGGAATCAAGGTACCTAGTGTAGAGCCCTAAAAGCCGGTCCTTAACTTCATGAGCAAATATTAGTGGTTTGCAAAATTAAATGTAGCTCATTCTGTAAAAGAATAATAATAATTAAAAAAAAAAAATCAAGTCCCTCTTGACATTTCAAAAAATAGCTGGAAATAATGTCAAGAAGTTGAAGCTGGCGTGTGAATACTAATTATGAAAATTATGTACTATTTGATAAAAGTATGGTTTTGTGGCCCGTGATAATTTATGTCCTTATGCAGTTGAGGGATGAAAATGATCCATGTGAGAGAAATTACAGTTAGAATTCCTCCCAAGTGCAAAATGTGTTGCAAAGTGAGGTTTTGTGTTTTGGTGCCAGATGGGTTATCCTGTTAAAAAGGAGACTGAGACTCTGCTGTACAGCTGGAGACTTACAAGAGTCCTGAACTACTCTGTTCAGCAGCTGCTTGATTTGCAACTGGCTATGCAGAACACAGAGAAATTTTTCAACAGCACATACTTTAAGTTTAAAAAAAATGATACAGTGCTATCAATATGCCATCTACTGGATTATTATCTCCTTCAGCAGAAGGCAGTTCTGCCTGTGGCAGTTAATACCTGTAAACGTATGACTAATTCACTGGTTGGACCTAACAGAGTAGATTTGCAGGACTAATTGTGTTTGCAAAAAGCCAAGTCCAACATCCTGCTGTGTGAAATTGCTTAGCTGAGACGAAGCATCAGCCTTGCAAGATGGGAAGTTTTCCATCGTGGGCATTTATTTTTATGACAGTCTTTGCTCTGTTTCATACACTGGTGCTGAAATCAGTGATGTTGGTACTTGCTGCAGAGGTTGGCAGCCGATGTTTCTTGTCCCTTGCGATGCCATATTCTTTGCATTATGCCCTGGTGATGGTTTTGGAAGATCTCATGTGATGGTGCATGTCCTCAGGTCTAATTGCAAACAAACATGAACTGATGAGTTCAACCATGTTAACACAAACATCTTTTCTTATTCGATAGTGTTGTTGATTTTATGTAACTTCTAAGCTTGGTATAGAATTGTATGCATGAATTAATGCCTATAAAATTACAGGAAGTTCATGGTTTTGAAATAAATTATCTTTTCTGCACTACCTGAGCTGGATTTTGGTGTGGCTTTGAGGCACAATGATAACCCTTCATCGTATTTCCCGTTGGTTGTAGTGTGAATGATTGAGGTGTATTTGTCTGTCCAGTTAATGATGTATGTTTGGATGGAATAAGTAAAAATTACTGCCCTGAAATCAGTCTCTCAAAACATAAAGAGGAACTTTTCTTTTTTTTTCTTAAGCTGAATTTGACTTCATGAAACTATTCTGAAGTTTGTGTTTTCCTGTCCACTTTCATATTTCCTTGGACATTTTGCTGTTGGCAGATCTAATGTGATAGTTGTATACATGTTAATTTTTTTCAAATGATGATGAAGACAGTATAGGTTTTTCATACAGCATCAGAAATGAGTCTCAGTGAATGAGTGTTCAGGGGATGGACACGGTGTGCAATAGGCTCAGGGTTTGATTCTGCAGCCACTTTTGTGGCCCCCAACACCTGAGCAGTCTGTCTGGAAAGCTCTTTGTAGAAGGGAATGCTTATATGAAGTAAGGCATTGGGATCAGTACCTAAGATTGGTGGTCCAGATGATTTTGTCTAATGAGACTTCCCTACTCTTAGCTAAAACGACAGTTTTCTGAATATTACTTGAATGCTACTGTTGAAAGGCTGTATACCAAAATATTTTGTCTAAATGACAAAAATACGACTCCTTAGAAGAAGCTTGATGTGAACAAACTTTTCCTTTGTTTTGTTTTTGTTTTTTGTGGCAGTGCACAAAAAACTTTCTGGTCACGAGTGAAACAGGACAAAGATACAAGATGCTGAATGATTTGACTGAAGTAGAATGCTTAATAGCAGAGAACAGGACCATAAACCCAGCAAGATGCACTTTAATAACAATAATAATATTTCTATTACAGCAACTCGTTACATGCATGTACAAACAACAGGGCTGTAAAAGGCAGAACTTATTTTAATGGTAGAGAAGTAGCTGGTGGTCATTTTTCCACTGTCAGCCTTAGTACACCGGTGTTACAAAATCATCTGTAATTCACAGGCTTCAGAAGAATGCTTCCTCTGTGGTTTGTAGCAGGACAAAACTAGTGTGTCATTTTCCCCCCGGATGTATTTTCAAGGTCCGCTATTTCCTCTACATTTGTTACCTTAAGTAATTATTTTTTAAGGGGTGGGAAAATAATATCTCCTCTTCTTTCAGATAAAGGTGTGTAAAGAGCTCAGTCCGAGACCTGAGGAAAGATTAAAAGGAAAGTGTTTGATGTTACAGCGCTGGGGTGGAGGGGGAGAAAGTCGAAAAGCCTTGTTTCTAGTTTTTAGGATCTTTTTGGGCTATAATCAGGCAAGGAAAGCGACCGTCTTCCAGTTACACTGATGCGAGAGTAGGTGGAACTCTGCCCCTTTCTGGATTTTGGAGTCCAAGCATGAGGCTCCCGATGGGTGCCAATGCCCTGGGCTGTAACCACGCCGTGGTTACATTGTCTCTGGCAGGTAGCCAGAGGCTATTCTCGCTTGTCAGATCTCAGGCTGAGGTCCAGCAGCCTGAGATCCTCTTTTTCCACCTCTTTTTGCCCACTCGACTGAGGATGAACTTCCTCAGAGTGCTGGTAGGCTGCTTCTTCAGCAGAAAACGCGATGCGTTTCTTTTGCTGTGGGTTCTTAATTTCATTCTTTCAGGAATTGCAGGGGTGATAACCCTACCAATTGTCTCCTGCTTAGAATTCAGGCTTTTTCCTGCCCAATTTTCTGGGCTGTGAAAGCTTTCTGATTTCTGTCAATGTGCATGATGATGATGATGATGATGCTTGTTTTCTTAATGGCTTGTAAGGACTTACATTTGAGGTACAGAAGTAGTATTTAGACATGGCTTTTGACTGCGCTATAGCTGAAGAACTACGTGCTTTTGTTGTGGACTGTGGGTGCTTAAATT